AAACATGATAGTAGTATGTATCAATTAGTGGTGATAAATAGGTTGTGGTTTGCGGCTCGGGACAATGTGGTTTGCCAAATCCAACGTACAGGTAGACATGTAAATAAAAGGGCAAAAAACTTATAAAACACTTTATTGTAGCAATTACAAAGCTAAATATTAAAAGCTTCCTAAATTCTTTCTCAGGTTGGGGAAGGTATATGTTATAGATTGAGGATTTCCAACTGCCCAGTATGTTGATGAAATGCATTGAGGTGTCAATACTGGAGGCTGTAGATGCTGCCCCTATCCTGAAGGAATGGCCAGGGAAAAGATGGTGGATTGTAGTCTAGTTTGAAGAGTAGAGTCCTTATATAAAATATGAATTTGGAGATAGTAAGTGGGTAGCCTTGAAGTAAGAGTAGAGGTGAATTAGGTGAGAAGCTGTTAACTGGAGTCAGGTATGAATCTATTATTTACTGGGCACCATTTATTGACTGTGGGAAATAGTAGGATCATGCATGCATGGTTGGATTGGTTCGTTTGTTTGAAGGGTAAAAACATAGTGGACGTTATGCTTATTAATATCAGAGGTCTTGAGACTTAAGTTAGCCTCTGTCTGACGTATTACTGTGAATACTCCGGGCCATAAGAATCCGTAGAAAGCTATATAGATAGCTGTTTATTCATGTTGTTGTTGTGACTCTCGAACGGGATACGCTGGTATCTCGGAATATAGGGCCATCTATTGGTAGTCTATTTGAGGTATGGGGTCTGTCGATTTATTGATGCATTTGAGTATGCTTTAAACAGGTAAGATGTGAGATAGGGGTGTGTAATAAGGATGGGTGGTGAGCACCTGATGCTGAATCCCTGTAAGGTAAAGTTTGAAGGTATATGGGCTAGTTTAAGATGAAGATGGCAAAGACCACCATGGTCACAATGGAGCAGATCTCCTGTAATTAGAGATCCATGGCAAAACTGTGGAATACTGCAAATGCCCTATCCTAAGCCATCATGGTGTTTAAAGATAAAGTGGCTCGGGACAATGACTAAGCATGAGTCATGAAGTTGGTCAGACCATGACAAGCTCCAGAAATACTGGTGTTCTGGATTGGGTACCTGTTGGTAGAGGGATGGAACCCGAATAATTTCTGTAAAAGAGAATGGGACAGTGTCAGCTGCTAAATTGGTAATACCCGGGATGTGTTCGCGCACTACATGAAACTAAAATGTGGCAGTACACCAGGTCATTTTTTTTTTAAACAAACATATGATGGTCAAAGAGGAGCGCTCTTTATTCTCGCATGCCGCCAAGTTGTCAAGAAAGCATTTTCTGCCTTAGCAGCCCAAAGATCATCCCCGGTGTGGGCAGTCACCACAACAGGATATAGCAGAAGTTCTTTGAAGGCAGGAAAGGTGACAGTTTCAATAGGCCAATGATCCCTGAACCGATGGTCACCAACAATAGCAACAAACCTGGTACGGGTGGCAGTGACTGTTCTGACAATAGGGGCATGAACATTGATATACCATTTCAATATAGAAGGAATTAATACCAAATGATCAGATCAGATCTGGCCAGGAGGTTGAGGATGATGGTGCCATTATCTGGCAAGCCAGGTAGTAGGCAGAGTAGCCTAGAGATGAACGATCTTCCCTTGCGGAACAATTCACATCGCAAATGAGGGATCCCAGTAATTACTGAAGATCCCCATGTGTACACAAACTAATCCGAATGAAATTATGCAAATCTTCCCTGATACGTAGTAGCTACTCATCCGGGAGGCCCTCCACAATGACACCGTAACCAGTGTAGTACCCTGGAACACCAGACTGGTCGTGGAGCCTAGGGTCATGTTCTGACAGTGTTGAAAAGAGGGCCGTGGTGCTGTGGATGATTAGTGGTGTGTGAGTACCTACTTCCACCATCAGAGTTTTCTGAGAAAATATCAAATAATTTTGGACTGCTCCTCGATCCAAATGTAAGCCTGATGGCGAAGTAGTAATTGTCCCTCCACTTGACACAATGAATGTGCTATAGGGGCAGGTGGATTGGTAGTAATTTGGAGGCATTTGAGATGGTGTTTCTGCGCTAAGCGTATTTCCCTGCGTGCAAAATTGCCACGTGTGGTGTAATGGAGGGAGAATTAGTCAGCTGGTATCGGTGCTCACGGTGTGTAAAGGATGAGGAGCTAAAGATGTATGATTAATCATGCCTTATTTGATACCTTACTGATAATGCCAATGAGGCTCATGCACACCGTAGAAAATGGAGGGTTAGTGAACAGACCCATCATGTAACCTAGTTGGGGTTCCTTATGTAGTGAATTGTCCGTGGTCGTGAGTTCGGCAGAGATGATCAGATTTGGACCCTGCAGCGTGCCTGAAGAGAGTGCAATAGGTTCCGTGTGAAACTCATAAGAAAAACAGAAACTATGATATCTTCCTAACAGAGGAGGGACTCAGATGTGCAGGGTAATAACTTGTGGTGTGGCAGGGAGTAATGTTAGAGCTACCCAGTGTGGCAGTGGGTGGATACATCTATGGTGTAGTTCTGCCGCCAGTTTGGGCATAGATCCAGACCTCAGGGAACAGGTGATTGCGCTGGAGTTCCGCGTGTGACAGGAGTACATGGCCTAGCTGAGGTGCTGGGGAGAGAGTCTCTGTGACCCGATTCTTGAGACATGCTAGAAAGAAAATGTAATGAGCAACAATACTTAATAGAAATGAAACAACATATCCAGAACTGGCTTGCTAACTAGTGCCGAAAGGTAGGGGGAAAAAAATAAATAAAAATGAACTAACCAGTGGCAGATGATGCCCTTCTAATTGTCAGCAGCAGTAAGAGGCTCTATGATTGGGCTTGAGGGACTTGTGGCCACTACGCAATGTTATGGGGTGACTACCTCTCGGTGACACTAAAAGATTAAAAATGTGTGGCCGTGACAAGTGGGTCCCTGACTATGACCCAATAGAAGGATATGCAAGCCTATAACTGGGACACGGGCAGATTTGAAGAAAAAGCCTCTGTGTTGAGGCAGGGAGTTGGCACAGCTGGTTTGTAAGTTAACTAAAGGCCAGCATCTGAAGCGGACAGTTCTCTGTCCCTAGATGGGGGCTTGACTCATTACGCAATCTAGCATAATGGATAATGTACGTACTTTAGTAGACAAGATAGTCTCCAAGAAAGAACCTGGGAAAGTGGACATCCACAGAAATAAAATCAGCCAATTAACCATGAAACACGAGACATGGCCTAAAATAGAGAATGTTGTAGACATATAGCAAATTGAATTGCATATGATAAAAGTCGATATGGCCTAGTGAGGGCCAAAAACAGTAAGAAGAATGAGGCATCACTGTGATGCAATGTGTGATTGATATAAGCTGAATTTGCATTAGTAGTGAAAATCCCCATAACTGAATGATCAAAATTACAGTTTTGTTGGAACAAACAAAAAAACACTTTTTTTTTTTAAAGCCACGGCTGTGCCCCATGATCTTCTAGTGAGGCCAGCTTGTTTGGAGTTTAGGCGGTTTGTGTTGATGACCTTTGAACCAAAAGTAGATGGTTCTGTGGGATAGGTAAGGTGGGATAGGGTTTGTATAGGACAAACTCCTCCCAGAAATATAGGCCTTAAGCATATAAAGTATACATGTAAAAATGTATTGCTGTTTTATTACAAAGTAGAGAGTATTAGAAAATCCCAAGGGGCTTATTGACTAAATATGTCTTTTTGGATATGGGGTCTGAAAAGGGGGTTTGGGGGAAGCCAACAGGTTTCTGCATACATTTATAACAAAGTTTAACCATTTTAGCATCACGTGTTTTCATGCATAACATGAATGTACTCTTATTTGGATTGTCTGGCAGTATTCAAAGAATTAAAGTGTTACACTCACTAGAAAATGCATAAGCATTTGTGTTTAGAGCCAACCATTAAAAGGCTCTATGTGAGTGCAAATTTGTATATCTCCATATTCTGTCTACAGTACAGTGGTACCTCTGTTTATGAATTTAATGCGTTCTTTGGGATGTTTCTTATTGCGAAACATTCGTAAACCGAAATGTGGTTTCCCATAGGAATGAATTGAAAACCAATTAATCCGTTCCTGGAGGTCAGAAAAAAGTGAAAATGAGCTGGTACGGAAACCAACCCACAATGCAGAACACACAGTAAAAGGCTTACAAGCGACGAAGCTCAGCTCCCTACCTTTCCACCGCTTGAGAAAGAAACCCAAAAAGTCCCTGAACCGCTGCAAAACATTTCCAGAATTGCTCCAAAACTTGATGCAAAAACCACTCCCAACACATCCACACTCAACGCCACGTGCTACCCACAGACTTGGGGAAACTTGCTTCGTATTGTGAGAACATTTTGTAAACCAAGGCATTATTTTTAATGAATTTTCATTTGTCAAGCGAAAATTATGTTAACAGAGGCGTTTGTAAACAGAGGTACCACTGTACTTTTTGGGGGTTATACCTACAGCCCTCCATTTGAAAAAGGGTGAGTGTTCCACAGTAGTTGTGTGAGTTTTAGTTTTTTCTTTATTGACAACATTTTGCTTTTCACTTAAATGTGGGGTGTGGTGTTTGAGGAACACCCATGCACTGTGGTAACAGCTTTTTTGTATTATATATTGTTTTTTGGAAATAAACAAGTTTTTCTTTGGCCTTGAGAGCAGCAAGGAAATGGAATCTGTGGGAGGAATCTTTATTATGCTCTTGGGAGATAGAATTAATCAGCCTCAAAACACAAGAAGAATTTAAATACAGAAATGGAGGGCTCCTACGTTAAATGCATGTCTTGGTTGGCATTTATATTAAACGAGTATGCATGCATACATACATACACACACACACACACACAACGTAAATACAATCTCACGGATCCATTCAAACAGAAAGCTGTGTGTTTGTACAGAAACCCGACCATGTGAAACCCTGGAAAGGTTTTCATGTTCCGGTGCATATACGCTTTCAAAACCTTGTAACAGAGAAATCAAGAATACAATTTATAATATAAACTCTTTATTTTTATTTTATAAATTGGCAGAAACTGCAGATTTCCAGATCTTTACAGAATTAAGCAAAAATTTAAAAATTAAAACATGGGAAAAAAATAATATTTTGGACACAAGAAGAAAAAAAAAATTAAAAAAGCTCAGTCTGTGCACCATCTCCCCTTTATACAGCAGCACACAATGCAATCAGAACAAAAAAACATAACATGTACAGCTTACAAAACAAAAGCAGAGATAAAGATTAAAGAAATAGTCTGATTAACCGTATACAGTATAAAAATCTAGAAAAAAAAAAAATAAAAATTGTATACAGAGCAGTAAACTACAAACAGGGCAAAAATCAAGTGAATAAGAGAGCAAGGCAGTGAGTGCAATCTCTTCCTGAAGCATAAGAAAACCTATATAGCTACAGATCGGTGAATAAATTGATGGGATACTTAAGAGGTGGCCAAAATGCAGCAATTTAGAGTTGGCCAAAATGTATTATAACTGCAACTACCATGGTTCTTTGCCTGGTCTTGGACAGTTGGGGTGTATCCCCCTCCCCGTGCTAGTTCCTATGTTTATCTGCATGCATCTTTCAAATTTGCACACTTACACATAAAACCAAATGTAAACTGCTCTGCTGAAATTGCACTCTTGTCAAACACATAAGAAAAGCAACTTGAACAAAAAAAAAAAAAAAACCTGAATGATGGAGGATGAGAGTCACTCATTTTTGGGGGCAAGGATGGGGGCTTAAAAAAAAAAAAAAATCCATTATAGGGCAAGTAGAGAGCTCGGATACATAGTACCACATATGGTACATGGTACACCAGAGACAGCATTCATTTGCTGGGCACAAATAAATGTAGATTGATGAAAGCTACAAAATTCAATAGGTCGGAGTAGACCACTGATATTCTGCTTCAGACCTCACACCCAAAGAGTACCATAATAAAATTCAAGTCATCAGAAAATACAGGAGACATGAGGTTTAAACCCACTGCCCAAGAACTAGAACTCTACACTAGTTAAACCATATGAATGTATAAAGATAAGACCACTAGCTACACTAGACATCTAAGGTACCTTTTTAGTCATATTAGCACCTAACCAACAAGCATGGGTTTCAAACAATTGGGGTGGAGGGTTGAATTAATAACTTTGAGCAACCTGTATTTAGTGATAGGAAGCAGTACCTATTTACTTCCTTAGGAAACATAATTGTGCTGTGTTCTATTCATTGTACAGCAAATCGCATTCTTCCCCCTTAGAACTGTGCATGGAGGGGATGATATCAGAGGAAAGTAGGCAGCTGTGCGTGTGTAATAACCAAAGGGAGTGGTTTTCAAGCCAGCCCAATAAACCGAAATATATTCTACACTTACGAATACACCTGCTTGAACACAGGTAGTTCATTGACAATCAAAACCAGATGGGTTAACCCCTGGGTGGAGGCAGAGAATAGAGCCCTGGTTTGGAACAGTAATGTAAATATATAGCTCAAGTCCTAGAATACTAGTTAGCCTGAAGGGGCAAAATGTTCGGCCCTGCAGGCTAACTAGTATTATAGGACTTGAAGGAATATATATATATTTTTACACACACACACGCACCTGGGTACCTATGAATTGAGGTTAAGAACCACATGGTATAAAAAGCTGAGCTTGTGCTGTATACACCAGCAGTGAAATCAAGGGGTTGACCCATTAGGTCTATTTCAAATCAGCATTTGAAAACAGATTTGTTGAGCATTTTATCATAACAGTTTTTATATTACTATTTCTTAGCTAACATTGCTTGATAGGTCTTAATTTTCTGTATTTTCACACCACAAATCCAGTTACATAAAAGGCGTGTCAAATAATGTACATCAGACTAATGGTTGTCAGTGAACATATATTTGAGGCAACAATGGGAGAATAATGGTGCAGATTATCCACATGCTTCAAGGCAAAACGAAAAGGCACAAAAAAATAAATAAAAAAAAGTCAAAAGCAGCAGCACAGATTAGTGCACTCTTCAAACCATTACCATAGCCGTGACAATTCATGCCAATCATGGCACGTGTAAAGCTTGGGATTACCAATGTTACCCCCACCAAAAAACTGCACTTTTTTGATAACCATTATTACCAAAACTGAGCGCACATGGACACAGTATTGCATACTAGGATGCAGAAGCTCAATTGTTAGATGTTTGGGGGGACTGTAACCTACATCCTTGCCCACATTAAAGTTAAGGAAAGCAAATGGTTGGGGTGACCGTTTAGAAAAAAATAAAATAAAATAATTCAGAATCCTTGAATGTAGCAGCTATATACTGCAGAAACATATGCTTGGGGGAAAACATAGTACCTCGTAGCATTTAAACAGACCTCACAGACGGCTTGTAGCATACATGCATATGAAAAGACAAAGGAGTGTAGTCATTTAAAAATGTTTGCAAAGACTGAGCATGAAGTACACAACCCTGCATCCTTTAACAGGAGCTATGGTGCAGAAACAAATCAGATCACTGTGGTCGTTACAAGAACATCTGAAAATATACAGTCATGAAAACTGGGTCTTTTCATTGGCTCAGCTGCTACCCCACTGTGTGTACGGCAGGAAGACATTGCACTGTCACCATCCTGGCTACTGCCCCCTCTCACTGATGACTGCATTGATGAATAAATCATGTATTGTCCGCCTAGAACTCCACACTGTAGTTTCTGGGCCATTTAAAATGTCTACTCCAAGGAATTTAACAAGGTAGAACAAAAACAGAAGAAACCAGGCACTGTAGCGTGTGCAGAGGTTGCAGCAACTCCGGCACAAAGAGTTATATTCGTACCAGCACCACTTCCTTTTCCAGTTCAGTTGTTAAAACATAAAAAGTGCTTGCCCTTTTTTCAGAACCAAACCCAGATTCGATCTGCAGGAGGGAGGGATCTCGCTCTCAGCTATGTATCTATTATACAATTACCCCTATGATGTCTGCAAAAGGTCCAGTTCTCCTACTTCAGAACCAATGAACTGCTAGCCTCAGTGGGGATTTCATGGTTACCAAAAAAAAAAAAAAAAAAAACCTATGCAAAAATTAAAAAACAAAACCCAACTAACAAATTACATCTGGCACCTCATAGCCGGCACAGACAAAATAGTGTGGGGATAAACACGCCAAAGGCCACCAAGATGGGGAACATGAGGCTGCTGTTGTCAGAGGCATATGGGTTTGGGGTGCGTGGGCCAGACTGCACGCGGTTCTTGTTATTCTGCTTCTTGCTGATGGATCCATCATCCTCTTCCTCCTCTTCTTCCTCCTCCTTCTTCTCTAAGCCAGGGTGAGGCTGTAGCTTTGGAACTTCTGATATAATGAGAGAGCACACATGGCAATGCGTTCACTTTAATGAATATCATTGGTGTAGTTTTTTTATTTTTATAAATACGAAGAGAATAAAAGAAACAGCAACTAATGTAGCAGAGTGTAATTCTATTGTGTGGTATATAAAACTTACAGAAGGCAACAGATACTTGGCTAAACTTTACAAAAGAAGTTGTAAACCTGTGACAGTTTAACGTGAACTGAAGCAAAAATAAGTCAAGGAATGAATAAAAATATAGACTCACCGTCTAATGTTCCTTTCATTAGGAATAAAGCACAAACTTTGGGATTATCATAATACCCCTAGGAGAATAAAAAAAAATACAAAATTAAAAGTTGCATAAACTAGTTGTGTGTGCACTCAAATGTATTTTTCTCAAAATATGAACTGAACTTTGGTTAATAAGGGCCCATAAGGTGCAGATGACAAGTTCTGTTTTTTTTTTTTTTTATAGATTACGTATATTTGAAAAAAAAAATATATATCTATACATACACACATATATATATATATACATATACACACACACACACATACACACACACAGCGCTCGTGAAATCACCAGTGACAACCGTATTTATAGTCATTATCTTCTTGTCACAGCACAGAGTCAAGTGTACAAGAGCAACAATCATTTAACTGTAAAAGACATACACAAAGATAGCACCACACATTTAGAGCTGGCAGGTAGCAAAAAGTAAGTGTTACTTAAACACGAATCTAAAAATACGTTGAGCAATGCAGAAATAATTATACATAAAAAAAAAAAAAAAAGCAAGCATAAAACTTATCTTTACTGCAAATTCACAAGCCTTGCCTTTTCTGTTGTGAACAGCTAGCCTGGCTCTCCCATTATTTTCAAATGGTAGCACTGTGCAATTTGGATGGAGTATATATTGAAGTTGTCAGCTTTCAAGTGAAAGCAGTAAATCATGGGCCAGAACGGTTGTCAGTAACTGCCTTCAAAACCATTAATCAACTAATTATCAACTGCTTAAGTAGGCATTAACGTTTGCAAACAGTAAAATAGTTTTTCTTCTTGTTGCTCATGAAGTGGGATATTTATACAGACCAGACAGCAGCTACATGGGAGCCATGTTTATTGCATCTATATGTTTATTTGTATGTAACATGCACAGAGTAGCTTCTGAGAAGAATATTGGAAAGTCTGTCTTAAGCAACAATTATTCACATCTCCTTAATTTACCTTTACAAATTCAACATGGAGCTTCCCTGTAAAGGTGGAAACTTCTCCTTGTACACTTAGTTTCCCTTTCCTGATGCTTATGGGGATAATTTCATCATGGGCTGTGCTATGTCCCACACGTTCAAATATATCCAAGTCCTTCACAACAGTGTGGCCGTTCACACGCACATCAAACACCTGTGGATGATAGAGGTCATATACTTGTCAATTACCTGCAATGGCAATCTGCCATCTGTTGCACTCTCATGAGACAGGAGTGGTCATTGCCAGCATCAACATGGTGTTAACACACAAGGTACATACTTACCTTCTGTTGGGATTGTGCAAAGTACACCTCTGCAAACTTCAACACCAGGACATACTCTCCCTCTTCTTTGATGGGAATCTCATATCCAAAATTGTCTTCGTTATAGCGCTCTGTCTGGTATAGAATCTGATCTTCTGGGTTAGATCTCAAAATAGGCAGTTTCAATCCGTAGTCTGAAGCTGTGAATACAGGAAGACAATATTATATATATATATATATATATATACACAGTATATATGTTTGTATTTTTTTTCACAAAAAGATAAAAATATATTTTTGCAGATCATCAGATTTAAAACACAAAACTGGTCTTTTTTTCGGTGCAGACACAGCTGGTTTATAGTCTGCCCCCTCTGCTTAATACCAGGTGTCACCCACAATGTAATATTAATAAACATCAGCCCGGTCAGTGAGATCTACAATTTAGATCTGCCTCCCCCCCAGTCAGTGCCCTGCACCCCCCCACCGTCCCCCCAGTCAGTGCCCTGCACCCCCCCACCCACCCTCCCCCATTGTCAGTGCCCTGCACCCCACTCCCATTGTCAGTGCCCTGCACCCCCCCACCCTCCCCAGTCAGTGCCTGCACCCCACATCAGTGCCACCCCCCCTCCTCCTCCCATTATCAGTGCCCTGCACCCCCTCCTCCCTCCCATTATCAGTGCCCTGCACCCCCTCCTCCTCCCCATTATCGGTGCCCTGCCCCCTCCTCCCTCCCCATTATCAGTGCCCTGCACCCCCCTCTCTCCCCATTATCAGTGCCCTGCACCCCCCCTCTCTCCCATTATCAGTGCCCTGCACCCCCCCTCTCTCCCCATTATCAGTGCCCTGCACCCCGAGTCCTGCCCGCTCACTCACCCCGGCCCACTCTGCCCTCCAGCGGGTCCTTCCGGTAGTGGATACCGTGTATGTCCACATGGGCCTCTCCGCCGGCGTTCACCGCCCAGATCACGGTGTCCGGCAGCCCGGCTCCCTGCGCTGGCCGCGGTGCGAGCACGGTGAGCAGCAGGGCGGCCAGAGGGCCCAGCATTGCCAGCACGGAGGGCATCTCCCGGGGGGACGGGCTGGGCGTGGTACGAGCGCAGCGACTGAACCCGACACGGGGCGGCCTCTCACCGGCCGCAGGCGCTCTGCCCGCACTCCCTCACCGCCAGCCCGCACATTTCATTCACGCTCTCCGAGGCTTCAACCTAACCTGGCGTGTTCCCCGCTCAGCCAATCACATCGCATCCCGCGCCCCGCGGGCCGGAGCAGGGCTCTGATTGACGGCGCAGGACAGCGGTGGGCGGGGCTTCGTGTAACGAGAAGGGAGCCCGGCCAATCACCAGCCGACACTGTGCAGTGGGCGGGGCTAGGTGACAGGGTTTGGTTGAGAGGAAGGAACCGGTTGGTCCGGTTGCAAAAAAGCGGAAGTACGCGGAGCTTCCGGGTAAAATGAGACAGAGCAAGTGATGGCCGTAAAACGGCATGAAAGCAGCGTCACAAGTAGCGGGTCTCGGCTCTGATTTGCTGCGGCAGGAAAAACACACCAAGTGTGAGCCGGAGTCGCACAGCGGCTTCAGCCAATCAGCGAGCTCCAGCGCGGCTTTTCGCACGGCATTATGGGATGCCATCTCCCCCCTCCCCAACTTCTGGCAATCAGGAATCCTGTCTCCTTGGCAACCGCCCTCCGTGTCTGGTCACGTGCAGAGAGAGCGAGGTGTGTATAGCGCTGACAGACACCGGAGCGGTGCGCATTAAACCTGGATTAATAATGGCAGCCATGTTAATATCTGTGGATAACATCTCATTATACAATGCTGGCCAATGTCTCTGTATGTAATGCGGCATCTTCATGATATGATTCTAAAACAGAACCTGAGCTGCTGACATTATTATTATTATTATTATTAGTTATTACTCCTTGTCCCCACTATCCACAGACAGTGTAGTGCCCATGCTAGCCACTCTTTCTCCACTTACTCTAAACTTTAACCCCATTTACTGCAGACAGTCACCCTTCACGTTCCACACTGAGCCAACCCTTTACATATAACTATTTATCTTTAATTTACTCCCCATTCTGACAGAATACAAACTGAATCCCATATCTACTCCTAGTGTTCAGACCCAGCTTGCATAAGGTAACTAGATTTCCACCTGTTTAGTAGAAATACCCCAAATGAAAACTTGCTTGTGTTAGAAGGGATTCTATAGTGCCAGGAAAACAAACCCGTTTTGCTGGCACTGCAGAATCCTGGTGTGTGTCCCCCCTCACCCCCAATCCGTCCTGTGGTGCTGAGGGGGTTAAATCCCCTTCAGTCAGTTACCTGAATCCAGCACTGATGACCCTTGGTGCTAGGTCAGGCTTCGCCCAGGCTGTTCCTCCACCACTGGAGACCTAATGTGCATGCGCAGCAATGGCTGTATGCACATTAGACCTCCCCATAGAAAATCATTATTCAGTGCTTTCCTATGGGGATTCCGGCGACGCTGGAGGTCCTCATACAGAGCATGAGGACGTCCAGCATCGTTTAGACGACCGGCAGTCCCACTAGTGGCTGTCCGGTAGACAGCCACTAGAGGAGAACTTTACCCTGCAAGGTAATTAATGCAATTTATTAAAACTGCAATAATTACACTTACATGTTTAAGGGTGATGGGAGTTGGAGGAAGCGTCTCTAGTGGCTGTCTGGTAAATTACAATTGAAGGATTAAACTGACAGGCCACAGCACCCAGACCACTCCAATGAGGTGAAGTTGTCAGGGTGCCTATAGTGTCTCTTTAATTCTAATTTGTTCCAGATTATAATCCAAACAGCAAATTTATGTAATAGCTAATGTTGGAAAACCCTCTAGTCACCTTGATTTATTTTCAATTTATAATACAGGGCCGTTGAATGCTTCAATCTGATTGGTTGACGAACGTTCTAAGGTGTGCATTATTTTCAGGGAGACGCATGGCTAAAGTAGTTCCAGACAGGTCTTGACATGTTGCGTAAGAAATTAGTCCTACGTACAGCATGGTTCACCATATGTTTGTATGACTAGTTCTGTTGTGTGTACAATGCAGTGACTGCTATAGTTCAGCAGGGGTCCCTCTATAGTTTTGAACAAGAGCTATTGTAATTAATAGATTGTTCACCCAAATGGACAGGGGATTGGAAGTTGATTGAATTTGTATCTGTTGCTGGCAGGGGTGGTCAAATGCCCAATATTTTTCTGTTACCTGTTACTAATCGTTTTTGTGAATGCCATTTATCATGAACTAATGCAGTTCATGATACTGCCATAATGTGAAACGTGTTTGAATACTTAAAAGTCCCCAAGACTTTGAAATCTATAAATTATCTAAGTATATTTATTTCCTATAGTTTACTTCTCTTTTACAACCTATTTTCACACTTCAACAATTAGAACTAACATGTAAATTTAGCTGGAAGTAAACACTTCTGGGGAAAAATACAACAAAATGTATAGATTATAAGCTGGTGGTGATGGTTAATAAATGTAAAAGTATGCCTTGTAAAATTCTCTCTCTCACTAAAGCGTGTCTTGGTCCAATTGAGGTTCAGAACCATTCACCTATAGCGCCACATGATTATATGCAAGACTTTGATCTATTCTGTGGGCTGAGTTGCTCTTCTAAGCAGCGATATAGTGTGAAGATTATCCAGCACTGGAGATAATCCTTTAGTTAGTGAAACTCCATCCTAATTAGATGATCCTATTATTGTTTGCTGTTAATAGGATCATACATCCAACTCCTGATTAGAGTGATTATAGACGTGCCTCTTGTAATTAATCATTTGCAAAATACACAGTTTCCTCTAAGGTTACAATTGTGGCTGCTTTCATTATATGTAATTTTTGTTAATTATACAGGAATGGTGGTAGTTTACAATAAACTATTCCTTGTCGCGGTTATTCATGTCAGGTCAATATATATGTTTTCGCTGTACAATCCGTGAAAGAATACATTTAAGTGAGATAACAACTTAGGCTGCTATATTGAGAAATTATTTTATTCATTTTTCTTTTTAGATTGATCTAAATGACTTGCCTAGATACATGATCGGCTTCTAATCGGTCATAAGATTAGCCATAAATTCTTGTGAAACTTTACCTCTTGTTACATGCTCGGTTGATCTCCTTAAAACTAAACATGACCTTCGTATCATGCTACACAGGTGCATAGCATTATATGGTATATGCTTACTGCTGATTACTTAATTTCAAATGTTAAAGCAAACACTACGGTATTTCTTTAAAAAATACTTTTGTACTGCCCAGTTTGTCAACTATGAATGATTATAACAAAAACTGAATATGAGAACTCTGAGAACAGACAAAACCTTTGAGATACTCAATAACTTGCTCTTTGGTAAGTCCCCGCACAGGTCTCAACCTAATTTTTGCTCACTCATGCCAGATAAGAGTGAACCTATACCATTGCACTTCAGACTGATCCCACTCATGAGGGCAGTCCAGAACTAAAATGCTTGCAAGTTCTATGATGACAAATGTACAATGAGCTGTTTGTGCCAATAAAATTAGTTTCAAACAATATATTAAAGGAACACTGTAATTGCAATAACCACTACAGCCATAGCCCTTGTACCATCTGATGGTAAACTGTCAAAATGTTTAAACGGCTCCATTGGATGCCTGCATTCCTAATAGTTTGAGCTTTTAAGGAAAAACAGATTTACAGAAAAGAAAAATATGCAAGCCGCTACATAGTTTGTGTCACATAAAATATTGGCAGGCTTTGCACAAAACTGGTTACTCGGGGGAATGGGGGAGGGATGGTATGAACGTTTACTGACCAATGGTCCCAGGGCACTACTACAGCGGAACTCACCCAAGACTTCCTTGCTGGTTTGTGCAAAACGCTCCGAACTCCAGCAGCATATTCCTGTGGGGACACAGTGATGCACCAACTAGAACAAGCCTCACTTCACTGACAAGTGGCTCTGGCTCCCGGGGCATACAGTGACTTATCATTCCCAGCCCACAAACACTTCTGGCCAAATGACCATTGCTGGATCCTGCACTGTTGTTGCTATGATAACTTCCTAGCTTGAAGTAGTAAAGGAACAGAGTGATGTGATGTCACTACTTTCAGACGCTTGCAGTAAACTATGGTGTCCATATCATAAAGAAGGTTCGGGGACACTTCACCAAGCAGGGCAAATCAACAAAGTGCTGAGGAGTGCCAGTGGCGACGTTATCCCTTTAAATCCTAACACATTAAATTTAGCCACAATTGAGTTATTCTACCTTCGCATTAAAAAAACAACAAATTAAAATTAAAAAAGCAACCCCTCTTCATCACTTTACCCCACCTTTATAATGTAAGCTAGTTTGAGCAGGGCCCTCAACCCCATCTGTTTATAAATATTTGTCTGTTAGTCCACCCATTGTACAACAGTGCACCGAGAAGGAGGCCTCCGAGACATCCCAGAATGAAGGGACAGGTTACCAAGGGTGACATAAAACACCACCTACGAGGGGCGGAGCCTGACAGCCAAGCGGAGTGGTCGCACCTCAGCAAAGCTCCTGTCTAAATAAATAACCTGAAAAACGAGCAAAAACCTGCAAATTCAATGCTTTTTACACTCCAGACACTGGGGCTTAACATCGAGACAATGCATAACGAGCCTGGGACCGCAAAATGCGACTGATTCCAGGGGATGGACCTGAGGCCTACCTGCGGCCTACTCAGGAAGCATGGGGGAGACAGCCGATCCCTCAGCTGACTGCAGCCTGTAACAAAGGAGGTCTCTCCGGAACACTCTCTTCCCCCCCCCCCGCCGGTGAGGGATATCCCGGCAACCAGAGCATGTGGATCGGGATGGAGAAACCGACCTCAGCCACCTTGCACCGCCGGACCGCTGACACACGGCATGGCAGAGACCACGTGGCTCCCAGCATCCAAGCCCAGCTTGCCTCCACTGTTGGAGCGGCTAGACAGTCTATTCAGCAATTTTTGGGCCAAACTCACCAGCCGCAGAGACACCCGGGCACAAGTCCCACCGGCATCAGCCACAATGGACATTACACAGCAGCCTGTAGCTCCGGTGCGGAACCCGAGAAAGATCGCGATAGCAGGGAGTGAGAGGCGGAAGAAACGTCGAAAGCCCCAGCGCCCGACTTTTAGACCACTGGTGAGTTGCCCAAAGCCTCAACGGAGACGATCTCCAGGGCTGCCCCATCACCACCCCTCTCACCCACAAAAAGTCCGCTCTAAGAACTGGCCTAGCACACTCAGGCAGGTTCCGTCTTAGAACAGCAGCCCTCCGGGTCTAAAGGCACACACAGGACACTCACCACTCCAAGTCACCAGGAAACCTAGAGGCAGCACGGAGCCAACTCACTGCCCAACGAACGGGAGTGCTTGGTCCACTCGCTCCCCCGAGAGGCGGCAAAACATATGGCTGTGACATACCCCTGGCAGGTGTTGGCTGACCGGGACATTTGAAATCACAGATGAGTCATTCACCCTATGCCTCATAAAGTCCCTACCTGCTACTAAGGACGTTTTCTTGTTCCCCTGAGAAATATAGTGTTACTCCTATGCTCATATGCTATGCCCTACAACTCACACGCTAACCTACTGCAATTATCTTGTATTCCTATCGACTAACAACACTAGTATAAACATGTGCCAAACTTTTAACAAAGCACAACCGCTACACACTCTCTAGGGCTATGTATAATAACAATGTTCAGCCTGCATAACACTCCACAGCCTCAATAGACTTAGCATGCTCCTACATTCCTGTATTAACCCATGAAACTGTGCAAAGTTAATGACACACAACTGTTTCTATATGTCTAAGTCTTTAATTTGCTATCACTACTAAGCTTACGACATTATCATGTTTATATAACTACTTTAAAAAAAAAAAAAAAAGTGCAATGTTGTTAATGCTTTGTGATTAAGAATGTTTGCAAACTCGACTGTACCAGCTATTGTGGCAGTACAAATTTGCCTGTTACCCTTATGCACGAATACAAATAAAGAATTAAAAAACAAAAAACACCTCCTACGAGATATCCGCAAGGTCTGGAAGTCAGACCTCAAAGAGGAAAAACGGAGATAGGGAATCTCCAACAGAAATTCGCAAAGGAGGAATCCAGACACCTAAACCGGGAGAACCAAAGCCGGGTGGACAGCCTGGCCCAGCAGATGCAGAAGCTCACTCGCTCTGTAACCACGTTGGAGTCCCAGCACAGACGGCAGAACATGCGGGTGAGGGGAGTACCAGAAAGCATCGAGGGGGACAAATTGCTTCCCTTTACCCAGCGCCTGGTGACCTCACTGGGCCTAAAATGGAATGACACCAAAGTGATAATACTAGCAGCATTCCGTGTACATAAAGCAGCAGCTGCCCTCAGGGAGCAACTAGAGACATGATAGCGGTCACCTGAGACATTGTGGTTCGATCCGCCGTTATTGCTAGATTCAGGGAGATGGGTACAACTCTATTTGAAAACTGCTCCGTGTCAATCTACGGGGACTTACCATTTGCAGTGCTGACAGCGAAGAGGCAACTGGCCTCAATATCAAAAACCCTTGTGGAGGCAAGGTTCGTTACTGCTGGGGAGAAGATGGAACTCTCATAGTCCCACAAGATGCCGTGTCCCTCACTCTGTCTCCAATGGAAAACCCGAAGTACCCACTGTAAGCATCACGTAGAACCTTTAACAAATATATATATATGAACGGCTGCAAGAATACGTTTCCGAGCCCATAGCAACTGATGTATGCTTATGACCCATGTCTGATGTTATGCACACTACCCGTTTATCTATTATTTGTTGATATAATTTTTTTTCAATGAAAAACTTTTAATAAAATACAAATTGAAAGAAAAAAAAATCACTTCTAAATTAGTGTTCATTTCTTTTGCCATGAGATGCTCCGTTGTATTTTCAAAGTATTAAGATTCAGCAAATGGTTTTGTAACACAGTTCCGACAAGAGGAGGGTGAGGAACTTCTCTGTGCGCATTCTCTGTACTGACTGCCAGAGGGAAAGGACAAAGCTTATAACAATGATTGGCAGGGAATTAAGAAGCCCAATTGCAGCATAAAAAGGTGTTGATTTCTACATTTTATTTTTTTATTTACATAATATATGGATCAGTAAACAACATATTTAAAAATCTCAGTGACCGCTTCCCTTTAAACACTGACAGCACAGTTACAGTCCTCATAGATTTAGTTTAAGGCAAATTAAATTAAATGTATTTTACAGTAAGAACAATAAGGATGTGGAATTCTCTGAGAGGTGGTTTTTTATCAGGGTCTATACAGATGTTTAAATTACACCCCAACCCCTCTCAAACTTCTTAAATACCTTGAACATAGAGAGCATGTCAGTTCTTACTTGTCCCACAAGCAGGACGGACAGGTAGCCTTTTTTTTTTTTTTCTTGAGAATCAGGTTGCACAACACGGGCAGCTATCTGCGTGTTCGTCTTGGCTCCAAGGCGCAGAATCCAACCAGGGCTGTTGGTAAGAACGAGTCGGGGGGGAAAAGATGCATCGATGCCGGATGTGCACAAAACATCAGAAGCCGGCCCGGGCGGCTAGTTTTTATTGTTGTCAGCTCACGTCCATTATGGTGGAACGCACACTCGAATAACTGTACTTTCCACTGTGGCTATGTTGCGACTGCGCACCCTCAAACTGAGCCACGTGTTTGGTGCCAAAATTTGAATTTCAGTCAAGCTATTTAAGGCTGATACGACCTGACTGACTACAGAGTGTATGTCAGATCCGGAGTACCATGTCCACCAGCCCTCCCACACGGTCTGAGGTTATTTAAGGTAGGAGGCATGCCTGTTTACATTTAAAAAAAAAAAAAACTCTGGTAAGAATCATTACATACTCTAACATTAAAGGGATACTGTAGTGCCAGGAATACAAAGCTGTATTCCCTGGCACTACCTATCCCTCTGCCTCCCTCCTTCCTTGCGTCCCCTATTACCTGGTAAATTAAGGGTTAAAAACCCTTTACTTACCTGATTCCAGCGCCAATGTCCCTTGGTGCTGGGTCAAAGCTCCGCCCCTGCTCTGTCCACGACGAGTGGGGTCTAATGAGCATGCACGGCAAATCCTGCGCGCATAAGACCTCCCTATAGTAAAGCATTGAATCAATGCTTGCCTATAGGGAAAAAAATCTGACGCTGGAGGTCCTCATGCAGAATCCGTTTCGATTCAGGAAGCCCTATAGACGGCCACTGAGGGCAGACTTAGAACTGCAATGTAGACATTGTAGTCCTCTAGAACTGCAATGTTTAACATTGCAGCACTAGGTGCAAAAGGGACACCGCACCCAGACCACTTCAATGAGCTGAAGTGGCCTGGGTGACTACAGTGTCCCATTAACATTTAAATGCTATTCTATTTCCTCATAAGTCTTACCCTGTACCCCAAGAAAAATTTAAAAAGAGTGCCTCAGCTCAACCACCTCTTAAAAGGGTCACAGAGAAGTTTAAACCTTTAGTATGTGCAGACTGTGCTATACCACTCCCGGATGATTGCAAAAAAAATATTGCAAATCTATGCTCAAAGAAATTGTTTGACATGCATGATTTCAAGACACACTATAAGGACAAAAGCATTGGGACACTCCTCTTAGTTATTGAATTCAGGTGTTTCAATCAGACCCTTTGCCACAGGTGTGTAAAATCAAGCCCCTAGGCATGCAGTCTTCATTTACAAATATGTGAAAAAGTGGGTCCTTCTGAAGAGCTCAGTGAATTCTAGTGTGGTACTGTGATAGGATGCTACGTTTTTAATAAGTCAGTTTGTAAAATCTCATCCCTGAACTATGGTCAACTGTAAGTGGAACATTACCTGCCTGACAGCATTGATCCAACTGTACAGTTGGATGGAGGAGGGATAATGGTATGGGGCTGTTTTTCAGGCATTGAGCTAGGCCCCTTACTTTCAACGAGGGAAAATCTTAATGCTTCAGCATAACAAGACATTTTGGCTATGCTTCCAACTTTGTGGGAACAGTTTTGGGAAACCTTTTTCTATTCCAGCATGACTGTGCCCATTGCACAAAGCAGGGAACAAAAAGACATGCTTGGATGAGTTTTTGGTGTGGAAGAATTTGACTGGCCCACACAGAGCCCTGACTTCAAAACCATCGAACACCTTTGGGATGGAGATTGTGAGCCAGGTGTTCTCATCCAACATCAGTGCCGGACTTCATAAATGCTCTAATAGGTGAACGGGTAAATGTTCCCACAGAAACATTCCAAACTCTTGGCTTCCCAGAAGAGTGAAAGCTGTTATAGCTGCAAAGGAGGGACCAGCTACATATTAATGACTTTGTATTTAGAATGTGATGTCCTAAAAGTCCCTGTTGGTGTAATGGTAGGTATCCCAACACTTTTGTCCATGTAGTGTAACTTACAACAGACCTTTGCTGAATTAAAAGAGACAGCATCACAAAAAAACCTCTAATGTAATCAGAAGTCCTGTTAGAGGGGAAAAAGAGGGATAGGTCTCCTTCTTCCTCTGAATTATCCTCTGGGTAGTGTTCAAGGAGTTCAGTTGTTTCAGACTCAGTAAGTAAAGATTGAGATGAGGAAACCGGTATCCTACAACTGAAATAACAAATTCAATAATGGAGTCTGTAAAACGTTGGAATTGCACAAATCCAGGACAGAAGAACAGGGTTTTCCAATGCCGGAAAAATACTTGGATACGATGAAAAAAGAATGGAAACACCCAGAGAAACAGGCGTTTATCTCTAAACAATTTAAAACACTCTTTAAATTGCAGATCTAATACGTGGATAGGTCTCCCAAAGGTTGACGTGCCTATAGCTCAATTGACAAGGAATAAAATCATTCCCATTGGAGAAGTGGCAGCCCTTAAATATCCAATGGATAAAAGGGCAGAAACCTCCTGTTCTGAATTCATATATTTTAGTCCTATTTTGTAATAAATGTTGTTTAAGTCATCATGATTCACTCTTTGTGAAATAAACCTCTTAATCGTTACCCCTTTATAAACTATGCTTTTAGGTTTATTAAAATAGCACAGTATACGATAAAAAAAAAAAAAAAAATGAAACACAGCTGATAATGTTTCTTCTGCTTGCTAACTGTAAAGAGTAAATTTACATATTCTGATTGCTAATCCGCATTAATCTACCACACTTCAAAAGAACTTAAATCAACATGTAAAGTATGGCCTAATTCTCATGACAAGGAAAGCAGGAGGAGGAAGAGAGGAGAAGACCCCAAGAAATGAACTATAAATAGAATAAAACCTTACCGACTTATCTCTTCCTCAATAAAGACATGTTTCCAGTGGATGTAGTACTCCAGATAAGAGTCTGCAGTTCTTCTCCAGATGCCTAGTATTGTAAAATGGAGCTGCTTATATTTGAGAAAGCATGTTCCTCTATATCAAATACACACTCTGAAATATCCTCATGGCTGAATGTATATAGAACAAACAGAATATTGCCTTTTCAAACATCAAAGGATTCCAATGGATAATAGCCCCTACCCAACTTCAGACATTTGCTTGACATTTCATTTTTTTTTTTTTTTTAATTCTTTATTTTATTTGTGCATAGCTTGAACAATCATGTTTGTACCGCCACAATAGCAGGTGCAAGCAGGTTTGAAAACATACATTAACATAGGTATGGCATTGTAATACATAGCACAGTTTTTTTTTTTTAATATATTCAAGATAGGAGACATGTTAAAAGGTTAAACCATGGATCGTAGTTACACAAAAGAAATCTGCTTGTCTCAGAGTTTAGTAATGTGTTATACTGATTTATCTCACAGCCTAGGGACTAACATGCTAGCTGAAAACTACTAAGGCTTGCTTGGTACATATGGTAACATCGCTGCTCTGTCTAAACTTAGAATTGGCATGCAGTGTCACGAGCTACCAGAATGTATACATGCATATAATCCTATTTACATTTTAATCTATGAATGACACACTCTTTTGCAGGCTAGTCTCGCTTAGCTGTTAGGTTACTTATATTGGATCTGCGCTTCACTGCCTTATAGCAGGCTTGAAAGATGAAACAAAGGCAAAAACTGAAAGCATAGTTATAGTAAATTAGGTGAGGAAGAAAACTATGCTAGGCAATATGGCACGGTTGGCGTTTGCTTAAAATATAAAAAGAAAAATTATGCCACTGTGCTTAACAAAGAACCCTGGGTTCCGAACGGAGACTTCTCTCCCCGAGAAGAGGGGAACTTGATTTTGATGGTTGTTGGTCAGGTGGCAGAGAGTAGGCAGCCCCAGTCCTCATGCAGAGAACAGCCAACTCCCATCACTGGCAGGTCGTAGTTCTGTATTTTCCAGCTCTGTTCGAATAAAGATGCTTTGGTGTGGCTTGTCAGGTAGTGTCAGACGGTTGCGGGTGGGAGCTGGGTATGTGTGAGGTCTTCACACTGATCCTCGGCTGTCGTGATAGTCTGAATACCCCTGTCTCCGCTTGCCGGTCAGATGGTCTCTGCTCAAGGTCCTCGGTGTCGATTGGAGCACCCCAGGTCGGGATACAGGATAGGTAGGTTGCTTTACCGATTTCTCCCTGTGTTGCCCGTAGTGAGCGCCAAGAGCCCCAAGGAGGGGCCGCCCTCTCCACAGCGTGCCTTTCAGGCTCAGCCGCCATCTTAGGTTGCAAACAAAGTCCCCGTTCGAGGTAGTTCCCCAGGGTAGGCCGGGATAACCCCCACCGGCCCAGAGGGGGGAAGCAGGGCCATCACCCCATTGTGTTAGGGGACCTCCGTGATGCAGCCAGGTAGGATAGCAGGGCAGCGGCCGTCCGCCCCACTCACCACCCGGATAGGTTGGCTAGGCCTCGGTCTCGAAACTCCGTTTTCGCGCCAAACACGGGTCCAGAAGCGGGTTGCCGATTGATCTCCGGTCCTAGCACCTCATAGTGCAGTTGCCTGCCGTGACTCAGTGCCAGAAAGTGCGTTTTGGGGCCATATTTTGCCCGAAAATAGCGGGAGCTCTAGTGCCATGCGTCCACTCTGCTCGGCGGTCCGGCCCCGCCCCCCGACATTTCATTTTAAATAGCATTTTAATCACAGGCACTTTCCATCTCTAAAGGAAAGTTATTTAGCATATCTTGTGCCTTATGAATGGCTAAAGAAATTCTCTGAAATGTAATGAAGCTTGTACATTTTTGTAAACGATAGTGACAAAAAAGTGTTCTTTGTGCAGAATAGATGTTTTTCTTTTGCCTATTTGAAGATCCCTCTCATGGACCATTACAAGCAATGCCAGATTATAGAGGTGTATAGAGCATGCCCCTGCAGTCTCACTGCTGAATTATCTGCCCTTTAGAAGTTAAATCACTTTGTTTATGCAGCTTTAGGCGCACCTCCCTCCATGTGACTTACACAGCCTTCCTAAACACTTCCTGTAAAGAAAAATTCTAGTAAATTACATTTTTTTTTTTTCTACTGCTCTATTAATAGCTTGCTGCACCCTGCAGGAGCCTCCTATATGTAATTAAAGTTATATTTATAGAGCAGGAAATACAAACTTCTAAAGGAAGCTACATATGAAAATAAAACCATTTTGTTTTCATGCAGACTGTGTCCAGGGGAGGTGTGGCTAGGGCTGCATGAACAGAAACAAAGTGATTTAACCCTAAATGGCAGATAATTCAACAGTAAGACTTCAGAGGCATGCTCTATACACCAAAACTGCTTCATTAAGCTAAAGTTGTTTTGGTGACTATAGTGTCCCTTTAATTCTTTTACTTTCTGTTGTTTAATGTGCTGAGTGCCTTGGTTGTGCAACATGGGACACAATATGCATAAAGTGTCAAAGGTATATTTCTGTTCCATGCTCATTGCATGTAGGCTTGCTGTGGCCCACAATTGATAGGATGGATTCCATGTGATCATTGACCTATAGCAGTGACCCCTTGTAGCCATTGCTCTCTCAGGAGATTTCTCTGTGGTTTAGCTTGTCAGTGAATGTTGTTTTTTTTTTTTTTTTTATGTGCTTGATATTTACTGTTTAGAAATCTGTGGGGATGGTTTATATTTGGCTGCAATTTCTAAATGCAGACAGAAGTCTGGCCTATGATCTTAAGTATTAAACATGAGTATCATGATGAATACAAATGTTGTAATTAGACCTACAGTGATTTTCAGCTCCACACTCCTATAACCGCTAATCCAGCACTGATTATAAATAAAACAAAAATTTAAAATTTTTTAAGATTGGATTTTTGGAATTTCTGGTTTGATGTGGCATGCTAGGAGGCACACCTCCAAAACAGCTTCTGTGAAATGCAGTAAAGAGAAGATGTGAGACGTTAATATATTTTGAGCACCAGTATTCTGTACATCAATATGTTACTAAAATGATAGATGCATCAAAAAACATCAGGTTAGAGTAGAGCGCATCATGTTTAGTACGTGGGTGTCTAGGTGAAGTACCATTTATTTATGAAATATTTTACCAGGATGGATACATTGAGATTTCTCTCGTTTTCAAGTATGTCCTGGGTCCACAAAATATTGCATTGTTACAATTGGATACAATATTACAAAAAAAAAAAAATATATATATATATATATATTTGTGGTCAGAATTTAATCGATTATGGAATGTGGTAGGTGGTGTAGTGTTGGTTGAGGTGTGCATAAACCAATGAATGAGTAGGACTGTAATAAAAGAGGGCCTACTAAGGTAATTATATAATTAGTGAAGGGTGAAGGTGGGTGGGGTCAACCAGCATGAATGGCATAGATAAGTAGGAGCCTAGGTTTTAAATAGGGAAAAATAACTCCTCCCACAAATTCAGGCCTTATGGTCTTCCTACTTGTGGTCGGAATTTAATCGATTATGGAATCTGGAGGTGTGCCGAAACAAGGAACGAGTAGGCCTGTAATAAAAGAGGGCAAAAGAATGATGCAAAAAAACCCCCACTTTATTACAAGGGTAAACATTTAAATGCTTTTCTTAGCTCTTGTTCTGGTTGTGGTATATAGGTATTATAAATGGATGGTTTTCATCGGCCCGGTCTTTTTATGATGTGGACTGGCGTGTTAGAACTAGAAGCCGATGAAGCTGCTCCTATCCGGAAAAGGATGAGGGGTTGTAGCCTAACCTTAATAGCAGAGTTCTGATGTAAAAAACTAACTTGGATGTGGTGAGAGGTTGATCGTGGAGTAGTAATAGTGGAGAGTTAGGTGGGTGACTGTGGAGAATGCTTAGGAAAGTATCTAGTACTTTAACTGGGCACCAGTCGTTCCCTTGCCGGTCCAGAGATGGCCCCAGGTATGGGCTGCTACCACGATGGGGTAGAGTTCAAATAAGGCTGATGTTTCTCTAAAGGCCGAAAAGGCAGCCGTCTCCGTGGGCCAGTTGTCCCTAAACCAATGGTTGCCAAATATTGTGGCAACCCGGTGTGTGCTGCTGGTCGGATAGTGGGGGAATGAACAAGGAGACTCCATTCTAATCAAAAATGAAATTCCTCCACATGAGCAAGTCTGCCCTGGCTGGTGGGGTGATGGTTATAGTACCTGTGTCAGGTACCCCGTGTAAGAGACACAGTAGTCTGGAGACGAATGATCTGCCCTGTGGGATGATCCGCATAGCGAAGTTAAGGGACCCCAATAAAGGCCTTTCCGTGTGCAGGTATCTCTCGAAGGAACAGATCTATTTCCTCTTTGATGCGGACCAATTATTCTTGGGGGGAGGCTAGCTTGGAAGGATACTGTGTCAAGTGATATACCTAGGAAAACCATTTTGGTGGTGGGGCCCAGTGTTTTGTCTGGGGACATGGGAACCCCTAGGAATATGAAGAGGGCTGTGGTGCTGAGCATGCTCCTAGGTGCGTGGGAACCTGTTTCGATCAACAAGAAATCGTCCAAGTAGTGAATTACTGATGGACACCTGACGATGTTCAGGAGCAGCCAGCAGAGTGTTTCTGCGAAGATGTCAAACAGTTTAGGGCTGCTCCAAGAACCGGACGTAAGTCGGGTTGCAAAATAGTATTTACCCCTCCACTTTACGCCATGTATGTGCCATAGTGACGGATGTATAGGCAGGAGTTTAAATGCGTTAGAGATGTCCGTTTTACTCAGCCATGCTCGACTGCCTGCTAATAGACAACCCCATGCAAGCCATCCTATCATGGCGTATTGGAGGAAAAACTCTTCAGCGGGTTTGAGTGAGTTTAAGCCTGGGGTGTGTGATGAATGAGAAGCTGAGAAATCGATTAGCAAACGTTTTGCATTTAAAGACTTGTTTACAGCTACCGAAGTGGGATTTGTAAGCCAGATAGAGAACGGGGGTTCTGGAAATGGACCTGTCCTGAAACCTGCCTGAGTTTCTTTGGATAAGAGGTTGTCCACTGTAGAAGGGTTGTTGGAGGCGGACAACAGGTTAGGGCATTCTAAGGTGCCTGCAGGGGTGGCAATTAAACCTGTGTGAGAACCCTGACACCAAAAACTCCACTAACTGGAGTTAACTTCGGTCATTTTTTTTAGGTGAAAGCCTGGCTGGGCACATGGTTTTGGTGTGTGCTCTAAAGCAAATAGAGCAAATGTGCAACAGCCTGCAGGGAGGGGAAGTGGAGGGATCTGCCTCACAGGGGCATAAATCGATGGAGGATGAAGTGGAATTACAAGCTGCACAGGACGGGACCCTCAAGCTGGCAAAGTGTCAGCAGAACAATTCAGTGTCCACCCGACACCAGTCTATCCGGATGTTAAACTGGACCAGATGAGTTGCTGCCTTGGCCGACACTGACTTTTTGGTAGTTGTAAAACGAGGACCCCCCTATTTATTCCCTAAGTCAACCACTTTGTGCATATATAAGTCCAGTTCCTCCCTCCTATGTGGGTACCCAGAGCAGATGACGTCTATAAATTCCGAATGCTTTTACAAATTGAGGGATAGACAGCTTTTTGTTGAGACGAGGGTCTCTGGTTTTCAGTACCACCAATATATCGCCATAGTTATAGGCCCTATTTTCCAGAATGTCCTGCAAGGCGATAAGGAGGGAAACCAGATTTACATCTTTACCATCCAGTATGTCTTTTTTTAACGGAGGCTTGGGCAGAGTGAGCAGGGGAAACGTATGGGGTAGTGGGAGGAGTGGTATGGTCCATGATCTCAGGGACTTAGGGGTAGAGGGGGTGAGGGATACTTCTGGGGACCCGGGCCTGGCTAGCTTTCTTGTGACATCCTGTGAAAAGAACATTGATTAATAGAATAGGGGGGAGGGAAGGTCAAGATCTTTGTAGAACTGGCTTGCTGACTAGTGCTGAGAGGCGAAGGAATTACCTAAACGTGAAAGGTGAGGCCTTGCTAATGCCAAGTGGTGGTGAGACGCTCTACCTATGGTTTGGGCCGTGGGGTCTCGTGGCCAGTAGATGTTGGCCTCTCGGTGACAATAGAAGAGTCAAAACACGTGTGGCCGTGACTTGTGTGGCACTGACTGTAGCCCTAAAGAAGGGAGTGCGAGGCGACTAACTATGATTTGGGTCATTGGGCAAACCTCCGTGGTGAGGTGGGGTGTTGGCCTCGCGGGAGCGATATAGTTGTTTGGTACTAGGGGCAGCACCTGACCCTATGAGCCAGTTCCCTAGTCCTGGTGGGGCTTGTCTCTGACTGAGAAATGTAACATGTGGATACTTACCTTAGGCTTTTAACTTCAGGATAGAGAGAAAGGTAATACTTAAGGCAAAGTAGTGGGAACTTAGGTGTAGGACTGGTCCAGGCCGTAGTATCCTATGGGTAAGATAGATGCTAGTGGGATTTGAGCGTGCAAATTGTAAGGCTGAAGGTTATGATAGTGGGAATGACAGACAGTGCAACGCATAGTCATACTTTGTGAAGATAAACGTATGGCTACGTGCATAGTTACCTGAACGTTGGTCCATACTCAGAGACAAGCCTCTAGTTACACATTGGGGTGGAATGTAATGAGAGAAGGCTAAGTGAGGCCTTGTGAAATTGAGGTAATCGTAACGAGTAAGATTACAATACCTGAGGGGGCGGAGCCTGGGACTGAACCCGACCAGACGCCATCTCTGTCGGCTCCTGCCTGTAACAAGTGTTACCCACAAAAAACTCGAAACCAAATCGCTACATGACCACGCCACAACCACTAACCGACTCGGGGCACAGAGGGAAACAGGCGGATGCCCTTCTTCCGGCCCCCAAAGACCGGGAAGGCTAAGCGCAAAATCAAGGCCTACTACCAGCCGACCCTCCGCTCCCTGGAGACATTCCTTGGAGGCTACCGGGGATATAACGAAACAAGAGCCGAGGGGGAGAACACCGCAGCATCTGCGGAAACCCCTACGACAATGAAACACCACACACAGAGAGGCCAGCAGAGTAAACGCAGTGGAGGAGAGTGTAGTGACAATAAACAACGAAATAACTCAGCTTAAAGAAACGTTGTACACAATGCAAACAGCTCACCAGGCGCTAACGGTGCAGGTCTCCACCCAAGGGGACCACCTGCGCCGCAACCACATCAAGCTCAGAGGGGTGCCCGCGGCGATCACACAGGCCGAAAGGCCTCATTTCCTCAGGAGGCTCCTAGCCACAATCCTGTCACCCACAGCCGCCCGAAAAATCACAATGGAGTGCTCATATTGACTGCCAGCAGGGCCCAACTCACCACCCACAGAAGCACGAGACTTCATCCTATGCTGCGCCACGACACAGGATAGAATCACTATAATGAATGCGGTGAAAGGCAAGACACCCCTGGCATTCGAGAATGCACAACTGCTCTTTTTCCAAGACCTGACAAGGGCAACACTGCAATGGCGGAAAACGAAGTACAACCTCACCAGCCGCCTGAATACAATACCGCTGGGGGGCACCCAGGGTCATAACGCTCACCCATAATGGCAACACATATAGAGCCACGTCAGAGACTGAAATCCCTGCAATTCTAACCTCACTGGGACTCACGGACTTACACAAGAACGGAACCACGAATAACTCTTCTCCGATGGGAGATCCTGCCACAACGAACTCATTCACACCTCGATCCCAGGGAAGCACAAACACAACTCCTTGACGGGTACTGTACAACTCAGCTTGCCACAGCAGACACAGCTCCATTCAATTTGGAAATAGATGGAGAGCGCTGATATGTTAGATGCCACATATGTTTCTTCAATGGTTTTTTACATGCCTTTGTTTGTGTCGATACATGCTCTCATGCCTTTAAGGCATGGCCGGGTTCACCAGCCAACACATGGCCAGCTCCACGATAATCCCCCTCCTCCCCCGCTGTCCCCTGGGTTAGGGGCACCCACTATCACGCAACAGAACCCCAGAATACCACGATAATTTTTACACAGCGCAGCGACCCTTAGCTCTCTAAAGGCGCATATAGACAATAGCCGTCTCCCTCGCAACACCCACCACAACAGACAAGTGCAACCACGCAACACCCCAGGATGCACAAAACAGCCAAGGGGTAACACAACAGCGCTAGCAACAACTAGGAAAAACAGAAGGGTAGCGCATGCTGAAACCTGTACCAATACTGTAACGCAACTTGTTAAAAAAACTACTAAAAATGTGTGCAAACCAAGTGACAAGTTAAGTAACCAGTCCTATACTATACATCACTTCTGTCATTGTCATTGAAATGTTGACATGCACCTTTAAAATAAAGAATGTATTTATAGGTGGTATTTGACGCCATTAAGGTTACATTAGATATACCCCAAAGTCCCACTGACATGTTGGAGATGCTTTAGGGCAGTTGGCTAATTTATACACATATGGTGGACATGCCTGGTGATTCAGCCCCTCTGGACAGAAGTCCGGAGATTGCTGGGGTTGCTAGGCATAGCACACCTACCACAGAACCCTCAAACATACCTTATGCTGCTGTTCCCCACTGATCTTGCCAGAGAGCATAGACAAGTATGCGCTCTCACATTGTTAGCGGCTAGAAACCTCCTAGCGACAAGTTGGAAATCGCACATATGCCCTTCAAAGTCGCAGCTATGGGACAAGATCCAACAATACCAGATTTATGAAAGCATGACAATGATCAATAGTGTAGAAACGCAGCAATTTCAATCCACATGGACACAATGGAAAGGATTATATACTAAGACCACACAGGCATGAGCGACCCCCGAAGAAGTCGAGGCAATATAGATGGGTCCAACCCCACAACTGGACTGCCCCCCACGCCCCAACCAAACAAACGAGCGCAAAGCACCAGACCATCAGTAATTAGGGAAGCGAAGCAAAATCTCACATAACTAAAGTTTTACATGAAATGGATGTGACGTTAATGTATCTATGGTCTACCTCCGAGTACTATGTCATCACTTTCTATATGCTGTACTACTGTCTGGAAATTGTTTTACAAATGTAATCCCTGCACCCCCCCTTCTTTCTTCTGTACCCCATATACATGAAAACCAATAAAGATATAGTAAAAAAAAAAAATTACAATACCTGATACTGTATGACGGGATACCAGATTGACAATCCGTATTTATATACGTGGTAATTCGACGAGCCTAAAATCATGACATAGAGCTAAGTCTCGAGAGAGACAAACTAACGAGATATGAGTGTGAAAATAGTGAAACCGGAACTGAACCCTATGAAAGTGATGTATGATTTATACGTAAAAGGGGAACCCCCTGGAGCACTTAAGCGAGACATACCTTTACTGAATATGCCTTATTCATGTGCCCAGTGGGGCTCATCTTATTGTATTTTACCTGTTGACTAACTTGTTTAAAAGAAAAAAAAAAAAAATCACTCTGCATGACACTATGTACAAGCCATGTGAATTCTAAGGGCAACAGTCCACATATTGTATTTCTTTTTTTTAACATGCTGAGTGACCAAAATAAAGAATGTAAAAAAAAAAAAGGGGGGGGGAACTAGAGACAGAGATGTAGACCAATTTGTTTAACATTCTGAACTGAGGGGGTATCAAGAACCAGCCGTGACAGGAATATGCCTTTTAGAACAAGACCGTTAAAATTAAGATTGTGGGACGCAAAAAGCAGAGGGTGAGATAGATAAGGTGTTTCTGAAGCTAAAAGCAGTTGTGACATAACCCGCGTGACAATATGAAAGTGTATATAAATATATAAAGTTTTCCAATAAGGTGGAGCAGAACTGGTGTAGTTATTGATTCTTCAATTTGAAAGAGGAAAATGAAGTGAATGCATACAGAAGACATACATACGAATTTGTAAACTAATTTTTATACGAAATGCTGAAATAAACGAATGACAAGTGAACTAATATATAACGAAGAAACGTTTGAAACCGCACGAATGAATGAGTGAAATACCAATATGCTGAATGCACGAACCGTTCGTATGTGCGAATGGGTACAGTTTGATACGTGCAACTGTAATGGGAGTTCGTATGAATTTTACCGAAAGCAATAGACTGTTAGCCGAACGAACAGGTGAACGTGAACGAACAGATAAGTGAAAAAGGGAGCCTATCCCTGCGTTTTTAGGCTGAACGTAGGAATAACCGAACGTTTTTCCCCACGTGAGACGTGTGAAATGCTTTGCAGAGAAGCCGGAAGGATTGGCTGGAGGTCGGAGCAGTGGACGCTGCAAATTAGAAGATTTCGTCGGTTTCTCCGAAACTAAAGTGCTGGCTGCTATGCGGACGGTCAACCAGCATGAACGGCATAGGTAAGTAGGAGACTAGGGTTTAAATAGGGAAAAATAACTCCTCCCACAAATTCAGGCCTTATGGCCTTCCTACATATGTATACATACATACACACATATATAAATGTAATACATAACAGGTAAGAAATATATTCAACCATGACCGGTGCATTCTGTGCTCAGGTATATTGCCATAGAACTCTTAAAAAGATTTTAGATTTAATGAAGATTTGACTGTGTCCCTGAGGTTATTCTATAATTGCAGTGCTCTGTAGGAAAATGAGGATTGAGACACTTTATTTTTGAATTGCGGTATGCTAAATATCGTGCTAGTACTTGATCTCAGTTTGTAGGAGATGGGAACAGCTGGGGAGAGAATTTCTGGGTGGGAGCTTCCCAGAAATGCTCTTATGCATAAGGCTGCAAAGATAGGCACAACAAAAATTTAAATATATATAATTTTTTTTTTAATTTTGGCTACTTTGACCCGTTTTTGGCCGCAACGGGATTGGCCCATTTTCGGCCGAAAATTTCGGCAGCTGAAATTTCGGTGCCTCCCTAGTTTTAAGTTTATTAAGGTGGGTTTGCGGTGCGGGTGCATACACTACATCCCCATAATCAATGACCGGCATTAGCATTTGTTGCACTATGTTTCCTTACTGTAGGGCTTAGGCAGGATTTGTTTCTGTACAGGGCACCTAGTTTTGGGTAAAGTTTTGAAAATATATTTTTTTTTAATTTGAAGGCCAAAGGATAGATTGGGATCTAGCAACATACCTAGATATTTAAAAGAGCAGACTGCTGTCCGTGTGCTATTTGAATTTGTTCTGATTCACAGTTGTTGATTTTGTAGTTTATGTAATTTAAGTACAGTTCCAAAGATCATTGTAACCGTTTTGTCAGTGGTTAGGAAGATTTTGTTATCCACTATCCACTTTTCTACCTCTGTGAATTGGTTTTGAAGCACAGTCCTCAAGCTGCTGTAGATTGGGTTTACTAGCGTAGATTAGTGTCGTCTGCGTACATGTGTACAGTTGAGGATTTGCAGACGGTAGGCAGATTATTTATAAATAATGTGAATAGCAAGGGGCAGAGTATGGAGCCTTGGGGAACACCACACGTGACTGGAAGAGGGAGGGAAGCGCTATCAGAAATGGGCACATATTGCAATCTGTCTGAAACATACGATCAAAACCAGGTTAGCGGACGATTACCAATGCCTGAGTTTTTAAGTTTTTGCAAAAGAATGCCATGTTCTACTGTGTCAAAGGCCTTGGCAAAATCAAGGAAAATTGCTCCAGTTAAGTCTCCTTGTTCCATGCCAATTTGGATGTCATTGCAAACTTTTAAGAGGGTAGTCGAAGTTGAGTGATTTGGACGAAAGCCTGATTGATCAGGGGTCAGATAATTTGATCGTTGATAATATTCACATAGTTGCGTGTAGATGCATTTTTCCAAGATTTTTGACAATACTGGGAGTAATGATATCGGGCGATAGTTTGATACCAAAGCATGGTCACCACTTTTATGGATAGGTACAACTTTTGCAGTCTTCCAAAGTTTGAGTATGTATCCTGACACCAGGGATTCATTGATAAGGGTAGTGACAGGTTTAGCAATTGCTGGCGCACTGAGCTTCATTTTTTTCATTTTTAAATTATTAAGATGTTTATTAACGACATTAACAGGCACAGGTCTAAAATTAAATTTCTCTATATGAGGATTTTGAAGATTTGGCAGGGCCTGATCTTTATTTGTGG